TGATGAAATATTGTTAATGAATTGAAAAGTGGTGATAATAAATGATAAATTAATGATATTATTGGATCGGGTGTCACGTTCCGACATGATATAATTGGAACGGAGTGTCACGTTCCGACACGGTATTATTGGATCGGAGTGTCACGTTCCGACACAGTATAATTGGATCGGAGTGTCATGTTCCGACACGGTATTATTGGATCGGAGTGTTACGTTCCGACATGGTATAATTGGATAGGAGTGTCACGTTCCGACACAGTAACATTAAAGGAAAAAATATTGAATTAACTTAATGTACTCAATCTCAAAGAACTCAATTCCCAAATTAGTTTGGTTTGGAGGCATGAGTCCTCATGTGTGATCTTGATATTGTTGACTGATTACGTACTTACTTTAGTGTTGTTGACACTGGTTCATGTGCTTGTTGCTTGCCACCTGCTAAGTGTCATTGTTGATTTTATACTATTATTCATTATATATTAGTTTCTATTTTGGGTTGACCGATGATATCTACTCAGTACATGTTGCATGCCCTGTACTGAGCCCTACTTGTGTTTTTCTTTGTTTTCTTTTTTGTGGAGTGCAACGAGTGTATCAGTGACCTCGACTCGCCCTCAACTCTAGCCAGTCTCCAGCACATCAGGTTCCAGGGTGAGCTATTCATTCCAGCTCGTGTTGGATTCTCTTGGTCATGGCATGATGTCCTTAGTTTTCGGACATAAACTATTTTATTCATTTATTTTGGTGTCTTTAATACTCTTAGACTTGGTATTTGAAAGACTAGATGTCCTTTGATGTGATGACTTTCAGATTTTGGGGATAATAACTGTTAGATTTTAGAGGTTTATTTGATTGGTTACTTTAATAAGTTTTGAGCTTCCGCATTATTGTTGTTGTTATTCGTAGTTGAATTATTGATATATGTTGGGGTTTGGATTCCTTGGTTTGCCCACTTAGGAGGTTAAGTGTGGGTGTCATTCCCGACTCATTTTGGATCGTGACATAATTTATACTTTTTTTTTAATACAAAGAAAATGGACAAGGTCAACTCTGAAAATTTGGAATATAATAATTACAAAAAGGACTCGTATATAATCACTGCCTCAGTTTCTCACTTTTTTTTCTTTATTTCTAGTCTAGTATGATAATAACTCACTTCCTGAAATTAGTATAGCAACAGCAAATCCGACCAAATTTGAGGTATTTTTCATACCCTTATCCTTAATAATAATGATCATGTTATGCAGAAATATAAATAATTGAGGCAAACATGATACAATTGAGGAAAACATATACCATCTGATCTTATTATAAAAAAAGTTAATGAAGCAATATTAATTATAACTTAAATAATGCAGCCACACAATTTAAGGTCGTGGATCGTCCACGTTTACGCTATATTTATCGGGAGGTTAATATGGCAATATGCTAACAAACTTATGAAAATAAATATGACAAAAAATAGGGAAAAAATTATAAATAAATAAAAAGATTGAGCTAGACTAACAAGTACCTAATTATTTATTTCTAAAATTACAAAATTGACCATTCATCCAATTGGAAATGTAGTACTTTTCTACAATTGCTTTATATGCATTTTTTGGTTATGTGCTCTTACCACTATAAATAGTTGTCCATTGCTTACCATTTATGTCATCAACTTGAAAATTTCTTTCATTCTTCCTTAGCATAATCAAAATCACTCTTATTATTTGTTTCAACAATGGCCTTACCTATAGTTGAAGAAGAGAATATAATTCGCCCCGTGGCCAACTTCACTCCAAGTCTATGGGGTGATCGTTTCCTTTCCTTCTCCATTGACAATCGCGTAAGTATTTTATTGATAGTTCCTTAATTTTTAATTCTCTTTGTTTTTATTAGACGAAAAATATGTTGTTTGATATGAATATATTTATAGGTTGCACAAAAGTATGCTCAAGAGATTGAAGCATTGAAGGAAGAAACAAGGAGTATGTTGTCAGCTATTACCGGAAAGAAATTGGTTGAGAAATTGAATTTTATTGATGTTATTGAACGTCTTGGCATCGCGTACCACTATGAGAAAGAAATCGATGACATTCTGTATCGAATTTACAATGAAAATTTAAAATTTGAGGGTGATGAGTATAATGATTTACGCATTTGTGCTCTTCAATTTCGATTGCTAAGGCAACATGGTTACAATATCTCTCTTAGTAAGTACTAAAACTTCACGAATAATGTTGTATAGTTATGTAATATTACTATTCATTTGCTAGAAGGGTAATAATATTTGTGCTATTCCTTGTAAATTATCAGAAATTTTCAACAACTTTCAAGATGGGAATGGAAAATTCAAGGAGTCGCGTGCTAGTAATGATGATGTTTTAGGATTATTGAGTTTATAACGAAGCTTCACATGTAAGGACACATGGTGAAGATTTCTTAGAAGATGCACTTGTTTTCTCCACTACTCATCTTGAGTCCGCGACTCCACATTTGAACTCTCCTCTTAGAGAGCAAGTATCACATGCCCTTGAGCAATCTTTGCACAAGGGAATTCCTCGAGTAGAGACACGATTCTTCATATCCTCAATCTACGAGAAGGATGAATTAAAGAACGATGCGTTACTTAGATTTGCCAAATTGGATTTCAACTTGCTCCAAATGCTTCACAAACAAGAACTTGCTGAAGTATCAAGGTGGTGGAAGGAATTGGATTTTGTGACAACGCTTCCATATGCTAGAGACAGAGTAGTTGAATGTTATTTTTGGACAATAGGAGTGTATTTTGAGCCTCAATATTCTCAAGCTCGCGTTATGCTTACCAAGACTATTGCTATGGTTTCAATTGTTGACGACACTTTTGATGCGTATGGTACAGTTAAAGAACTTGAAAAATACACTGATGCCATACAAAGGTATGAACTTCATAAATTTACTTCCTCGTTATATAAAAAAAACATAAATTTACTTTAGATTCGTCATCTTTGCAGATGGGATATAAGTGAAATTGATCGTCTTCCTGATTACATGAAAATCAGTTATAAAGCTCTTCTTGATCTTTACAAAGATTATGAAAATGAATTGTCTAACGATGGAAGATCTCATGTTGTCTATCATGCAAAAGAAAGAGTACGCAATCAAATTACATTTTTCTTAACCCTTTAAACTTGCATTGAAGCAATGTATATTCAAATTACTATATATTTTCTAACACTTATTTTTTCTGGTGTTGTAGATGAAAGAGATAGTGAGGAACTATAACGTCGAGGCTAAATGGTTTATTGAAGGATATATGCCTCCTGTTTCTGAGTATCTAAGCAATGCTTTAGCAACTAGTGCTTCTTACTTGCTCACAACAACATCATATTTGGGCATGAAATCTGCTACTGAGCATGATTTCGAATGGTTGTCAAGGAACCCTCAAATTCTTAAAGCTAATGCAACATTATGTCGCGTTATTGATGACATAGCCACATACGAGGTATATATGAATTGACTGACACTGAGTTTAAGAAAGTAAAGAAGTGTTTTGAGTTTTTGTGGTTATAAACTAAAGATATGCAGAATGTACCAAATTAAAAATTTCTTTCAATTTTGTACTGGTCTGAAACATGTCATGTGGAAAGTTGAAATTAAAGGGATATGATATTTGAGCAAACATCAACGTGTTGCAACGACAGGAATTGAAGCAATATATAAAATTTACCCCTTATAATCTATTTGCATTTCCAGGTTGAGAAAAGTAGGGGACAAATTGCAACAGGAATTGAGTGTTACAGGAGAGATTATGGCGTATCAACTGAAGAAGCAATGGTTAAATTTAACGAAATGGCTGAGATAGCATGGAAGGATCTTAACGAAGGAATTCTTAGGCCGAATCATGTATCCATGGAGTTTTTAATGCGTATTCTCAATCTTGCTCGTCTTATTGACATTACATACAAACACAATGAAGATGGATACACACATCCGGAGAAGGTCTTAAAACCTCACATTGTTGCCCTACTTGTGGACTCCATCGAAATTTGATGAGCTACCATATGTTGTTATTTTTATCTTGTTGAATAAAGTTGTTAGGGAGCTTCTTTAGAAGTTGTTTTGTGCACTTCTTAACTAGGACTTCAACTAAACCCTTTGTAAGATGATGCATATCTATTTTACTATTTATATAGGACTTTCTACATTTCAATTTGTTTGTCTTATTTTTCTTTTTAATCCGTTTAGAAAAGAATATCTCTTTCAGTTTTTGACAACTCTTTAATTCCAACTTTTCACATTCATGGCACGTTCAAGACCACAAGATTACGTTTTGATACATTCTACACATATTTAGTTTAAGACCAGAAGATTCAATCTTTAATTACTTTTTTAAACTCCGTATAGAACTTTTGAATCTTATGATCTTAATAAAACTAAAGATATCTAAAAAAAAGTACCAAAATGTCATTATTCTTGTGGTCTTAAACATGTCATGTGAAAAGTTAAAGTTATAGATTTTTCAGAAAAGGAAAAAAAAAACTTTTTTAAACAGACTAGAAAGTGAAGAAAGACGGACAAATTGAAACGGCGGGAGTGGTATAAATTCTCTCTAATTGACTACTAAGAGTATTCTATTGATGGAATGTTTACTGACAGAAAGTTTAGATAATATAAACTATATCAAAAACAGTCAATGAAATGACTGTTTTGATAATAAACTTATATCATACACCTCCCTAGAGTAAGTTTAGACTATTGTAAAGCTAACATAAATTTGGATCGCGCACTGTGAGGCCCATTTAGGGGTGACGCTCCCAATAAGATTTTCTTCATATTCAGGGCTCGAACCCGAGACCTCTGGTTATAAATTAAGAATGAAACAGTCCCACCACTGCAGTACCCAAATATTCGTGTCTATAAGGTACTATATATTCTAATGGAACAATAAAAGGTGTTTTATTTGCTCTTATTTATTGCTAAATGAAAAGACATTTATTGAACAGACTAGCTAGCCCTGAGGGCTAACTATTGCGATACATTATTACTTGATAAAAAGATAAATGCACTTAAGGTTGATAAGGAGTCGCAATCAAGTAAAGGTCATTTTTTCTACTAGTAGTTATTCCATCCGATTTAGTCAAGTCCAAGTCTCTTGGCTCCATTCCAGTAGTAGGGAGTTTCCAATCGAAGTGATAAAGCGATTGAGCCAATGGCAAATAAATATTAGCTAAACCAAATGATATCCCAGGACAAACCCTCCTCCCACTTCCAAAGGGAAGAAATTCAAAATTATTACCACTAAAGTCCACAGAGCACTGGTCAAATCTCTCTGGCTTAAAGCTTTCCGCGTCATCCCAATATTTTGGATCTCTTCCCAATGCCCAAACATTAATCAAAACTTTAGTCTTCACAGGAATAGTGTAGCCGTTTATGTCCGTCTCTTCCCTACATTCTCTTGGGATCGAAAGTGGAATTGGTGGATGGAGTCTTAGAGTTTCTTTAACGACTAACTTTTGGTATTTCAACTCCTCGACATCATATTTATCAAACTTTACTTTATCTCTAAAGGCTTCTCGCACTTCTTCTTGAGCTTTGGCGAATATACTTGGATTTTTCATCATTTCAGCCATAGCCCATATAGTTGTTGTTGATGTAGTTTCCGTTCCACCAGTAAACATGTCCTGCAATTAAAAATAGTTGAGTCATGACTTTTGAGAATTTTAAAACAAAGCTAAATGACCTTCTAACAGAACTACCCTTAAATGAGTGACCATCTCAGATATTATCTCCAAACTTTTTACAAATGATTTTGAGTAAGAACAAACATAATATTCAATACTTACAATAATAATAGCTTTGATATTGTGGTTGTTGATGGGAAATTGAAGACTTTTATCCTTCATAAGTCTTAGTAGGACATCAATTAGGTCTTCACCACCTCCCAATGCATCATCACTAGTCTTGTGATTTGCAAAACTTGCCACTAATCTTATTACTTCTCTAATTAGTTTTATAAATATGTCTTGCTCTTTTAGTAATTGACCAAATGCTGATCTACATATCATGGAGCTTGCAAACCAAATCATCCTCTCTGTAAAATTAACTGGCTCTCCAGAAGATGAAGATGATCGTATAGAGTCGATAAGATGAACAACCTCATCACGTCTAATCGAGCTGAATGACCGGACATTCTTTGCATTCAACAGTTCCATGACACAAATTTTACGCATTTGTCTCCAATAGTCACCTGTTAATTAAGTGTAAAAATTATCAGGTGTCATATGCAAAACCTAACAAAGCAAATCTTGTATTATGTCATGTAAGACGTGTGTGTCTATTTACTCAACTTTATACAAGTTTAAGTGTCTACTTGATCACACCCAACATTGGAGGGCATAGATACCAGTTGATGTCAAGTTAAAGAGCATGTTTATGTATTATGTCCAATTAATAACCTACTTATAAAAAATTCAAGTTAATTTACATTCTCCCCGTAAGCAAGTACTCCTTTAAGGATTATATTGTGAATGTCATATTATATATATACATATATAGAGAGAGAAGGATCCTCAAAGGGAAAAGATACTTCTGTCCTTCGAGAAAAAAGTAAAACTCAAATATATTAGGGAAAACGCGCCTAATTAACTCTCACCATAGGGGCTAAAGGCAATGTCACGACTATCATAAGTGATAATATCCGTGACCAAGAGTTTAGGCCTAGATGCAAAAGCGAGGTCATGAGTTTTTAGTACTTGTTTAGCCATCTCAGAAGAAGTAACAACAACAACAGAAACTTCACCAAGTTGAAGTTGCATTAGAGGACCATATATTTTGGCCAAATCTCTAAGGACATGATGTGGATATCCACCAACAATGTGATGCATGCTTCCTATAAAAGGAAGTTTCCATGGACCTGGAGGTAATTTTTTAGTTGTTTGGCTATTGGAGTTTTTCCATTTTCTTAGCAAAAAGAGGAAAGATAGAAAAAGCAAAATGTAAACTAGACTAAAGATTTGCATTTTGGGTGTGTGTTTGGTGATTCTTAACTCAAAGTTCTATATTTATAGTAGTGACAAAGATCATATTGTTTCATAATGTATTACACGGCTTTGTATTGTGTTTGATTGTATCGTATTATATTATTTTAATAAATATAATATTTGTGTAGATTATATCGCTCTCCATCATCATACAATGTCATATCACATCAACTGTTTGAAGGATAAACCTACAAGAAAAGTAGGTTACGTGATAAAGTTACTTTAGAAAGGTAGATTAAAGGATACAATAGAGTTATTAATTAACTAATAAGTAAAGATAAAATGAGAAATAAAAAAATTAAGGTAACGATGCAATCACACCAAATTGATCGTTGCACACAATGGAACTTTTAGCGATAAATACAATAAAATTTAAGTAATAATTTTTTACTTAAACATCAGTTATCACGCTAAAAAATATATTGTATTTAAACTAACCATACATATTACTGATATACGAAATCATTTCACTATTAGTGATTTATTTTTTCAACACTTGCTAATTTTGTTTCCAACTAAAAAACTTTAGAAAATTCTCTAATAACAGAAGGAAATTAAAACTCTGACAATTCAGCTTCTTCTCTTTTCTCAGTTGCCTCACTTGACTTTATACAAGAACATGTTTGTAAGATACTCTTTAAATAAAAAAAATTCACTTCTTTAAGTAAAAATATTTATTAAGGATCAAAGCGAACACATTTGTTATATATTAAGGACCATTTTGAGTTGAGTATGTTTTATAGGGCTTGCCTAGTGTGATTTACATTCCCTGTGTGGTTTGTAGGCTATTACACAGTGGGGGTTTACCCGGTGCGCACAAAATGCTCACCCGAATGATAGAGACTGTGACAAAGGTTATAGCGGTTGCAGGTTATCCCGAGATTTTAAAAAAAAAAACCATTTTGGTCATTTTCTCTTTTTTTTTTCTTTTCTTACAAATTCAATCAAAACATATGTAGAATAACAACTAAATAATTTTCAGTGAAAAAATAGTAATTATTTAGTAGTGTCTTTTCATAAGTCTTTCATGTATTGCATTTGTTCGTCGGAATAGATACAATAGTTATATGGTTCCCTTCCGTGTCGAGCCAGAATTTTTTATAATAATTGATAATTTTTTATAATAAACCTGATATCATAACCTGGAAAATAAAATTAAAGAGTATTTTACAAATACATGTTAATTCTTGTAGTTAAGTGAAGCGAGGCAACTTTTCCTTTTGTTATTAGAGAAAATTCAAAGTTTTTGTGGAAACATATTTCCTTGTGTAGACCTTTTTGGCTTACGTGGCATCCAAACATTTTCCACGCGCCTCAACTGGAGTCACAAAGTGTGTCACGTAAGCCAAAAAATGTATAAAATTACAAAAAAATGAGTTCGAGGGTAATAGGACCTTAGTTTAGGTAAGGTATGTCTCTGAGATTTAGGTTATAGTCTAGGGGGTATTTGTGCTTTATCCCTAAAAAGTATTATAGCCCACGGCAATTAACAACTTAAAATATTTAAAAATGTATAGAAAGAAATTTCGATCAAAGAAAAATTTGATTGACTCTTAAAATTATAATTGTGTCACGTAAATTAGGACATAGGGAGAAAGATACATGATTTGAACTTTATGTGTTTGAAATATTATTATACTTCCTACAATTTGAGTTATTTGATTCGAAATTTAATATAGTCAAACTTCTTTATAATGACATTATTTGTTTGGATACTTTTTTTTTAATTGTCGTAGAGAACATATAATATAATGACACATAGAAAATCAGTTCCAAAAAAAAAAAAAAAAACTGTTATAATAAAGTGTTGGAAAAATTCTACTATATTTAATAATTTAATTAGTATTGTATATAGTGTCTAAGCTAAATTTACACGATTCAATGGAACCCGTATATAATACTATACATCCATTTCTGATTATGTACACTCCCTTTTGTAAGGTATAATTGTTTTGGTTACAATATATATATATATATATATATTATTTTATATATAGAAAGTACGGTAACTTTAACAAATTTTTGCTTTATATGCCAAAAGTTTTTTCATTATTATATTTTCTTTGCTTTATATGCCTAAAAGAAAGTGTATTTATATTCTTTGCTTTATTTATTGGTTCAAATTTTTTTTTACTACATATCTACATTAAAATGGAATGGAATTAAGTGAAGGACCACAAATTGTTCTTTTATTCTGTTTTTGGAAGAGGCAGAATTGAAGAATGAAATGTCCTTAGGCTAGAAGATAAAAATGTTTTAATTTGGAATAAAACCAGTGGATAAGACAGAAGGACAGAACTATTTAAAAGATTCTGGAAAAATTGACATATTAGAATTTTAATTAACAGAATATATATATATATATATATATATACTAGTAAAATTACTCGCGCTTCGTGCGGGAATTTAATATCACGAAATTTATAAAATAATACTTAAGACCTATCCGTCATTAAAACTAAAACACTATATTATCTTACATACAAAATTACGTAGTAACAAACATTAATAATGTAAAAAGAAATGAAAATCATTACATCTTATCATTTATCATTAATAACATAAGCATAAATTAATAACTGTAAAAATACATACCAGGATCTGTAACATAAGCAATGGTGTCAGTGAGCCACTCAACATGAGCAAAGTACACAAATGTTTAATTGTGAAGAAGAAGAAGAGGTTCAGAATTTTCGTTGTTTTAAAATGAGGGGAAATCCCTTTATTTATAGACAACAAAGGGTAGTGTGAACAAATGTTTATTGTGCCTTATCAGAAAGGTTGTGACTTTTATGAAAAAGTTGCAACCCTTCGAAAACGTCGCAACTTTTCATAAAAGTCGCAACTCTTCATTAAAGTCGCAATTTTTCATAAAAGTCACAACTTTTCATGAAAGCGAAAAGCTAGTTTTGGAAATAAATAAATCAAACGAGAATTCTAATTTGTGGTAGCGCCACGTAGGCAGGCCTAAGGTTCTCTTTTATATATATATATATATATATATATGATATGATATGATATGATATGATATATATATATATATACACACACTATAACTTTGAAAATGCATATGTAAACACCTCAATCCATCCTTACCATGTCTCGTGGAAATCTAACGATGACATATAGATTTTGGAGGTGTTTGGACGATTATTTTATAAGTTGAAGTGTTTAACTAACAATGAAGACAGATTGAAGTGTTTAGATGTGGATACTCAAAGTTGAAGTGCTTAATTGTTTCCTGAATGTCAAATAAGATGTTTACCTATCATTTTTCGGTGTGAGGCATTATAAAATAACGAAAAATAATATAACTTATAATCCAAACATTATATTTATACGTACAATATATTATAAAACTACATGAAACAATCATGTGACTACTAGGTGTCATTTCTAGTTACAACTATGTGGACTTGGGCCTTACACTTCATATGGTGGACTAGAACTATTTAGTCATGGTGGTACTGGTATTGTATTTAGTCATCCTAAAGATTGATAGAGTTTCTTTTTCAAATATGATCCAACCAACACATTTAAATTTGATCCGCTCATTTATTAACTTAATCTATGATGGAAAAAAAGAAATCTTTTTTATTTTTTTAAAAAAGAATATGTGGTTTTGTTTCTTATCTATGACTTAATTTGAACAAACACATCTGATCTTTCATTTTGATTCATGATTGAAAAATAAGAGCATATAATTGCGTTTCGACAGAGAGATTTTTTTAGAAGCTCGTGCACTATATTAATGGCCTTGGATCGGAGTTAAGCTTAACTAAACTCTATAAACCACTATGCTAAGGTAAGAGTTGCTCGGATTAGGCTATGACCCATATTTTGCCTTATCTAATACTTCCTCCGTTCCTTTTTATATGTCACATTTTTACTTTGTATTTGCATTAAGAAAAGATGTAATTTTACCCTTCTACTCTTATTTAATTTTTTTGGAACTCAAGTTTTCAATCAATGAATATGAATTAATTTATTTTGATTAATTAATTTAACCAATGAGCATGAATCATTTACTTAACTTTTCTAAGTTGGTCAAATGTATATTTTCAAGGGGCAAAATGGTCTGATGGACCCCTGTACTTGTACCAATTTGTATTATGGATCCTTCTACTTACGTTTTTGTCATCTGGACCCTTATACTCAATAAAACACAATATATTAAACCCCTTTGACCATTGACCATGCTTATGTGGCATTAAAATAGCTGAGTTGGCGAGAGAGTGTGACTGCACGCATTTAAGGCATCACTTTTTCTCATATTTTAAACTTTAAATTTTAAATTATTAAAATTATATAATGAAAAAATTAAAAAAAATCCATCTTCTTCTCCACACCACTTTTTCTGCCGCCCCTTCCCCATCGCTGCCCAAACCTCTTCTTTTTTCTCCACACCATAGTTATCTTCTTTAGCCCGATCTTGGCATTGGCACTTTGATGACATCAGGTTTCATGGCGATTATCAGTGGAGGGAGAGAGTTGTGTTGGTTTCATGGCAGTGCTCGGCGATTAGCAATGGTGTGAGAGGGAGAGATCCGACTCTGGTCCTTTTTCCGTCAGAATGGGAGGCGGCGGCCAGCGAGGGAGTTTGCTGGTACGCCGGAGAGGATGGAGAGGGGAGTTTGCAGGTCCCCATCTTCAATCTTTCACAACAATCGTCTCCTTCTAATCCTTTAAACTTGTCTTTTTCAACCCATTTCGATAACCCAAGAAAATCTCAGGAGAATTTTGGGTAGATTTCGACGAGTTTCACAGCAAAAGAGGAGGAAAGAAAAATAGTGATGGTGTGTGGCAGAGATGAAGAAGGGTGAGGGAGAAAGTATATGTGATTTCGCCGGCAAAAATGGCGACGACGCCGGCGATGGCTTTCTTTTGGTGGTGAAATAGTGAAAATAGGGAGAATTAGAAATGCCAATAATAAATTAAAATGTTATTATTTTATATTTTATTAAATAATTTTGGTTAAT